TTATAGCTAATTGATGAATCTTTAAAATTTTAATCTTATGCTATAAAACTTCTCGAGTACGATAATTTTTGATTTTCTAATGCTTGAATGGTGTTCTACCATAGGAAGAGTAGTGTGATTTAGTATAGATATTGAAGCAGCTCCAATTATTTCTATATCTTCACAACCTACCAACCATACTGCTCCTTATGGTGGTAATTTGAATTGATTCATAAGAATTATTAATTCCTTTAATTGCTCTTATTATTTCACTCTTTATTTTAGCAAGCTCTTATATGATTATAAAATAGAAAAAAAGATGTCTATTATCTCTTAAGATAAGTAGAAGATAGAATTAGAGAACAAAAGAAATTCTAAGAACAATATTAGTTAAAAAAAGGATAATCTATAACTTCTAATATGCTAATGTCTTATTAAAAAAAAACATAATAATAATAACATACTTTTAATTAAGAAGAAACAAAGCTCTAATATTGCAAGTGTATTTTTGTCAATTTGTCAAGGACAAGAACTTAATGAAGGAAAATAAATAAATGAGACTTTTTTCAAAAAAAGATGACGAAATAGAAATAAAGAATATGTATATTAAAAAGAAACAAGAAGGGCTATTGCTAAAAGATAAGAAAATTAAAGACCTTTGAAACTAATCTAAAAATTAAAAAAGAATTAACAAGAATGAAGAAGGCTTCATACTTACCTATATATATATATATATATATATATATATATATATTATCTATTTAAGAGTTGTATGATGATATTTTATAGAATATCCATATTACTTTGATAACTATTAGAGTAAATATATATATGTCTATGATAATTTTCTGATTACTATTAAAACTTTATCAAGAATTTTTTTCAAGTTGTAGCTCAACTTGTACCTTTGACTTGTAAAAATAGTCTTAAATAGAACAAAGAAGTTGAAGCAATATTTAAAGTTCTGAAGATAGTTTTTATTTTTATAACAATTTTGAATTACATTGACTTTTCTAAGATATTATTACATATACAAATTCTTCAAACTTTGCTTTAGCTATTGTATTTTTACAAATGAGAATAAATCACAAATTTGACTTTATGACTATCTTTTAATATATATATATATATATATATATATAGATAAATTAGAGTATATTACAAATATAATTTATTTCATCTTAAACTTCACCATATGATCACTGCTTCTCATAGAATTTGTTCTTAAAAAAAATATCACAAATATATATATATATATATATATATATATATATATATATGTAATAGAAATTATCTAAATTAAAAAAGTTATATAGAAATAAAGTAAAAAAATAAATTCAGTTATATCTTATAGAAAAGCTTTATAGATACAAATTTGACTTTCTAAGTATCAATAAGTGACTGGTAGATTGAAAATTTAGCCACCATGTTGGCTAATTGTAGTACAAATTGATATTTTAGCTACATTTGCAAACTTATCTTACAAGCTAAACATATATTTGAGGTCTTATTAAACGTCTTCATATAGCTCTTAGTTAGATAGAATATATTTAGAATCAAGATGAAGCCTTCCTTACTCTTAAAAATTTGTTTTGTGCTTCTTGTGTAATTTCAAGAATCTTTAATTTTGTAGACTTTAGCAATAGCTATTCTAATTTCTTCTTTAGTGTGCATACTTATTTATTTCTTTTTTGTGATGTCTCTTTGATATATATCTTCTTTATTTATTTGTATTCTTTGAATTGTTATCCTTGACAATTAAGGCATAGTTGTTGTTTGAATCATTCAATTTTATTAAATAATATATTATATTTTTTGATCAAGTAATTTTTAAAATAATTGCATAAATAATTTTTAAATATAAAATATTCTTTAAACTTAAGATAAGTGTATAAAATTAAAATTAAAAACGATTTTAATAGAAATCATAAAAAAAAACTTATTTTGAGACATATAGAAGAAATTTTTAAAAATAAAAAAATTTCAATCTTATTATGCATGCATATACTTCTATTATTCATTAAATATGATCTTTATAATGTTATTTATTTATTTATATTAGAAATATAAAAAACTAATATAAATTTTAATTCTATTCAAAATAAATTCAAAACTATAATTGTTTGTCAAAACCAACTTTAATTAATCAACTTTCATTGGTATCTTTATAAAACTCAAAGCATTTTTTTTATAGATAGTTTTTATAGTTTTATGTTGCTATTTGTAAAAAAAAAAAAAATTAATTAAAAATAGACAATTAATAAAAACATAACCTATAAAGCTATAATTCGTATATATATATATTAAAAATAATCACGTTATAAAATAAAAAGTATAAATTTGTTTGAGAATGAATATTAATATAATTGACTTTTTTGTTATCCTTTAAAATAATATATTTATATAAAACAATCAATAGAAAAAAAATAACAAGCATAATTTAAGTTATTTAATCTTAAAGTCCAATATAATTATTTGGAATAAGATATCTTTTGCTAAAAAAATTATCATCTTCAATTTTATAAGATATTTATTTTGTAAGAAATTCTAATTAGTATTTTTTGTATTGATAATAAAAAATAATTAATTATTTGTAACAAAAAATTGAATATGATATAAATATAAGTATATATTTTTAGACAAATTTTAAAACTATAATAATTAGGTTTTTACACTTACGATCTAAACATAATATCCTCCTAAGTTTAAAACCCTAAAATCTACTAAATGTGTGTTCAGGTTTTCTGTAATTAGTAATAAACATTGAACATGTTCTACACCTTATTCAATAATTAAAGTGCTGTATATTTTTTGTATGCTAAGTAGCAGTTAGTTGGTACCGTAGCATGTATTAGATATTAAATTTTAAACATGATAATGCAAAAAAAAAAAAAAAAAAAAAACAAAAACAAAAAACAAAAAACAAAAAACAAGTATAACTATTAATATATTTATTGTAACTTTTAATTTTGTAAAACGAAATTTTTTATTATTATTTATTCACAGTAAGTAAATTATGCCACTCTTATGCAAATATTTTTCATGATTTAAATCCTCAATTAATTGCAAAAAAATGCTTTAATATGCCAAATACAAGTTACTAAACATATTTAGACTAATACAATATAAAATATAAAATAATTAATAATTAATTGAATATTATAGTCCAACATAAAGTGAATATTCTTATAAAATAAAAAGATGTATTATTTTTCAAATCACATAAGTACAGCCAACTTGTAGAATAAGAATTAATTGACTAAATCAAATGTTAAAGAAATAAATAAATAAAAAAATTTCATTTCTTTTTATTTTTGGATTAAAAATTATCTACAAAGAACTTATTTTATTTAATATTTTCTAAGTTCATATTATTTATCTTATAATTTAAATGAAGTATAAGTATCTTGTAAAATATTTATAAGACTGCTTAGGCTAGTTGAATTAACTTCAACTATAAATGTAATAATAATTCCATCTTGAACAATAAAATGTTATTGAACACTTTAATTTTGTTAATTTTCTTTTACTAAAAATATTGGTATATATATTTAGATAATTTATTTAAGATCACTATTTAAAAAATTAAAAATAAAATATTAATATCTACAATGAATATATTTTAGAAATATAAAAACCTAACAAATATAATTTAAAGATTTAGCATATTCTAGTTTAAAGTAAAATTTTCTCATTTGATTTTTTATTTAGTAAAATTGTGTTATATATATATTTTTTTATTAAAAATGGATATTTTCAAAAAAAATAAAATGAAAATAAAGTATTAGAGATTTGATTTCAATACTTCAAAGTATAATTTATAACTTGTATTAAAAATGATGTTTGAATTTGAAATAGCAAACATTTTCGTTTTATTTTTATCAACTTTAAAATCAAGAAACTATATCTTATGTGAATATGGATGGAAATTTTAATATGTTCTAAGTCTCACAAATCATATTCATGTGTGTTTTTTCTAATTGTAGATTAATGTAATTGATATAAAATTTTAAGAATGTTTTTAGAATTGTAAAATTTATTTTAACCGTCTTTCAAGGAGTAAAAATAATTTTTTTATTAGTAGTATTCTTTTAAGAGTTTAAATTGATTCTTATGACTTTAAGTTTTTGTTTTTTTAATGTCCCATTGATTTTATTTATTTATTTACACATAGTTTTTATATACTCTTTATAAGAATTTATTTTCTATCTATTAACTATTAGTTTAAAACTTATAGAAGTATTGGATATCTCTTCTATATAATAAAATAATTCTTTGGTTACATTTTTTTTTAAATTAAGTTGTTGCTTCAATTTATACACTTTTGATATTCTAATGATATATTTGTTTTTATAAACTCATTTGCAATGTTAGATTGGGTTCTATTTTTAAAAATGTTTGTAGAATATTCAAAGCAAAAGAATGAAGAAAAAAGGTAACATATGTATATATATATATATATATATTTATAAAAATTTAAAAATCTCTTTTAAAAACAACCACCTTGTGTATTCTTCAAAATAATATAAATCTCTCTACACCTTTTTATATTTTTAAATTATTTAACAAGTTTATTACACAAAGATATTTTGAAATGTTATTTAAGGCTATTTTTACATAATAATGTGAAAATATTATTTTAAGACAATGGAAATTTTTCATTAATATAATACATAATAGTATTAGTAGGAGACAATATTTAAGTGTCTTCATTTGAATGTGCAAATACAATCCAATCTAGCTAGATTATATATTTTCAGATGTACAAAAATATTTCAGTATAATTTATGATAAATAAAACATCCATAAAAAGTTGCATTATAAAAAAAGCATAGTCCAAATAAAGTGGTAGGCCGAAGTCTTTTCTCCTCCAGATATTTCCAAAATTGTCACCAGTGACAATTCCATCCGGAATTCATCCTCGAACCGCACCCGAGCCTTCATCCGTCGAGTCGCGGATTCACGGCGGCTTCGCCGTCGCGCGGAGAGCATTGACTAGCCGACAACTCGCGGGATGGATTCAGACTGCGGGACGGGGGTGCCGTCCACCATGGCCAGATTCTGGAGTAAGAGGAAGGGAAGGGGAAGCAGAAGAGCGAGAGACCCCGAACCACCATAGTGAGGGATAGATTGCACACTCGGAACACACCGCGGCACGGGTGCGACGGGGTTGTAAGACCAGGTTTAGGAGCACCCTTGGAGGATGAGCCTCGAGTGCGGTCTCCTCGGAGTTTCTGAACGCTGCAAAACCGTGTCGCACAGGGAGTCCGGTGATTCTCTAAGTTCGACTTTTTTGTCCGAGAAAGGGTTGCTACGGGGACTGTTGGGTAGAAGAAAACTAGCACTGCGTTTGGGGAGTCGAGTGTGCGATTGCGGGGATCCACTGATGGTCGTGGTTTTTAGGGTGTGGTGAATTTTGAGGGATTCGTCGTAGGCTTGACATTTTGTTTTGGTTCTTTAGGGGGGGAGGTTGTGGTGCTAGGGTAAGGCCAGGTGGGTTGTAAGATTGAGGTGAGAGGTAGTAGAAAGTAGCTTCCGTGCTGCGGTGTAGAGATTGCGCCTGTCTTCAAGGTTATTCTGGGGTTTATTGCACTGCGTGGGTGTTTGTAAGTGCTTCCTTGTGTGGAGGTTTTATCGATATTTCTAGTGCTTGCTACTGGGCCTGTAGCGGTGGGTGGGAGTTTCTTTCGCATGAAATTGTTTTGGTGATCTGATTCGTCGGTGTAATTCTAAGTACTGTGTTCTTTGAGCGGTCGCGTTTTGGTTTGTGTCAGTCCTCAAGTAGTTGGCTATATCCAACCTTGGTCAGTGCACTTGCAAGGCATGACCGAGAGTATGAACTTGAGGTTGATTTATCTTCCACGTCTTGGGATATTGTGAGTGGATTACATTGTGTAGGACTGAATTGCCTGCCGTTACGGTATGTAGGATAAGGAACTTGTTTTGAAGTATTAAAGTAGGTTGCTTTTTTTTCTGTGTTATTTGAAGCATCGGTATTTTTGTTGGACGAAGCCCATGCCGTGGCTGGAGAGTGCAAGTTTAACATAATTCATAATGGCTACGTTTGCCGTGAAGTCCGCGTGTGCTTTAGTCATCATGCATATTATGATCAGGGTATGCCATGCGGCATCTCCAAATAATACTTGTAAACCGAAATGTGGCGAAACGGAGGTCAGGTACCCATTTTCCTTGCAAAACTATGCCCTTGGACAGTGTGTTACAGAGTACCCCGATCTCGGATTTCAGTGCTTGTATCGGAAGTTATACCTTAACTTGAGCGCCTCTCCCACTTTCACGTACGAGGTTCAGAACATAGATTATAAGAACCAGATTCTTTCAATAGTACCATATGGAAATAATGCAATATGTTCTGACTTTACGAGTAATATATTTGGAACCCTGACCATCACAAATACCACCACACTACTTCTGGACTGCGGAGTCCGTATACAAGAAGACTGCACCTCCCTAGACACGATTGTTAACTACGACGATATCTGTAATCGCAATGGTACGGGTGTGAGTTCCCAGGGAGGTGCAAATCGGTGGGCTTGCCCGATGAGGTATCTGAATTTCGCCGATTCGCGTTACAATCAGTGCCACCTGTTTGAGAGAGCCCCGACCGAACTCCTAAGCGGTCAAAACAAGACTGTTACCGTGGAGCTTCAATTCGAAGTAAAAAGTACGTTCATTAAATCAGAAGCTCTTTCAATTTTCTGTTTTTACGAATTGCTTTCTGTTGTCGGGATTATTGTTTTTGATAGAATGTACTGATGACCAGCACTCAAAATTGTAGTCATTTAAAGTTGCTGCAAGTGATAGCTTCTTTTTTCAGGTTGATCACATTTCGGAACGTGTTCAGTTTGTCATGGATCTCAGACTGCAGTCCTAGATCCATACTCTAGCAAGGCGGAATTTGTGCCACATTGGTAGCATGGTCTTGGGAGATTGACTGTTTGGTCTTGTTTCAACTTCCTGTGGTTATCATCACTGTTATTACAGTGCAGCGAATTGCTTTCTGTTGCCTATTTCGTTTTTTGTAAAAAAGTTTTAAAATTTTTATTTTTGTTTTAGACTCCTGATTGGTGCTTGGACAACAGTAGGGGGGTATCCTGATTGAGGTTCTGTTCGTGAACTCAGTCTGGAGTCTGTGTTAGTGGCTCAATCTTATTTTATCGCAGAGACTGTAAGATTTGCACGCCTCTGAGAATGTGTCGTTGATTGCATCAATAATTGATTTGTGATGCTCTCGTGTGCGATTGGCAGATATATCAACCCTCGATACATCTCCTTCACCACAGCCAGCGGCATCACCTGAAGCTACACCTTCAGCAGATATGATGAGACGGAACCTGTATATCATCCTTGGTGGGTATTGAACGTACTTTCAACTTCTGGGAGCATCCTAAACCATGTTGAATGCTGGCAAACTTGGTACGCCTTGTTGGGGGCTTTGGATTGGCTCTCGAGCAAAGCTATCATGTAGAGTTGATTTTTAGCAGTCTAAATTTTCCACTTCATTTCGAGCCAGTTTGTTATATTGCCAAAATGGCTCCTGAGCAGTATTTTCTTTGTTTTCATTGCTCATCTAGCTATGCATACTGGGTGAGAGGTTGGCAGGTATTGTTGCTGGGTTTACAGCAGCAGTCTTAATCTTCCTAATCGCCCTACTGTACTGTTGCCGACTGTCACGGCGCGGCCCGAGTGATTTGATGAAGTATGATGGTGGTGACAAGAAAGAGTTTGCTAAGATTCGATCGAGTGGCTCAGGCCATCTCACAACACTTTTTACCTACAAGGAGCTTGATCATGCCACACAAAGTTTCAGTACGAAGCATGAACTGGGAGGGGGAGGTTTCGGGACGGTGTATAAAGGAAAACTCTCGGATGGAAGATTGGTTGCTGTGAAGAAGCTCAATCAAGGTGGAAATCAAGGCATACAACAATTTCACAATGAAGTTGATGTTCTCTCTAAAGTGCGACATCCGCACTTGGTTCAGTTACTTGGTTGTTGTATGGAGCGGCCCCTTCTTGTTTATGAGTATGTACCAAACGGGTCAATTTCAAACCATCTCCATGCCGGGTGCAAGGCACCGTTACCTTGGAAGACAAGGTTAGAGATTGCTGTACAGACAGCAGAAGCACTTGCTTATCTTCACTTTTTAGTAGACCCGCCTATCTTTCATAGAGATGTGAAGACAACTAATATCCTCCTTGATCAGGACTTCAAGGCTAAAATTGCTGATTTTGGTCTTTCGAGGTTGGTTGTGAACACGGAAAATACCCATATCTCCACCGCACCACAAGGTACCCCTGGTTATCTTGACCCAGATTATCACGAGTCTTATGTCCTTTCTGACAAGAGTGATGTCTATAGTTTTGGAGTAGTGTTGATGGAGCTCGTGACTGCCAAGAAAGCGGTGGATATGACCCGGGAGCGCAAGGAAATCAACCTAGCATCTCTAGCTGTGGCTAAAATTCAATCCGGGTGTTTACACGAGATCCTGGATCCAGACTTGACTGTTTTGTTCTATGATTATCCTATGGCGCAAGTTATGGTTGAGCAAGTTGCTGAGCTTGCTTTTCGTTGTCTAGCATCTGAGAAAGATGATCGACCGTCTATGAAAGAAGTGCTAACAGATTTACTGCGAATACAAGCTATTGGTTTTAGAAGATCTTCAGGAATGGAGCCTTCCCTCGATAACAAAGACTCCGCAAAGCCTCTTCTAAACAAAAACGGTGGGTGCCCAGCATCCCCTACCTCTGTGCAAGATGTGTGGGTGAGCAACACAACCTCACCTGCTGATAGTGTAGCAGAAATGGTTTAGATAAAAATTTACAGTGATGAAGTGTGTAAATAGAATGTTTTTACTCATTGCTACAGGAGCTGCCTAAATTTGTGTACTTGCTGTAGCGTCGTGAACGCATTCATCTCCTGAATTTCGTGTGCGTTTCTAGAGTTCTACAGGGCACCTAGAGGGAGAGAGATAAGAAATCAACATGCGTAATCACTGTAACAGTTAGCAGGGATTTAAATCTAGGAAAACCTTCGCGGTGCACGTAGCTCATTACATTTTTAGACCTGGTTGGGTTTCCCTAGGTCATTTCAGAACGTAAATTTTTTTTCACTGTAGTATGACATAACCTGGGCGAAATTTTTAATGGGTGTCCTTCGTCTGAGTAGACAGAATTTTGTATCTTCTCATTATGGTATTTTCCCTTTTGTGATTCGTTAAATGGTTTCACTGTCCTTCAACTAAAAGATTCACTGTAGTTCTTGACTACCAGCCTGTGGGCCTAAGATTGTTAAATGCCTATATTTTGTTTCTGATATTGAAGCGCTCTTGGTGTTCTTACGTTTTTAACTACTCCTGCGTTGGTAAAGTTCAGATGTTCTAAGAGGGTACACAAATAAACATCAACAAATTTGATTGTCATAGAGTCCAAGCGAGAGGACATTCGAAAGGGCTGTTTTACATTTTATTTATTTGATGTAATAGATGGAAGATTCGAGAAACTGAGTAACTTGTGTAGTCTGCATTGGCACAGGAAAGATTATTGTACTAGGACGCTGACATTGCATCAGCCACTTAACACTGCAGTTTGCAAACTGGTGGTTTTGTAGAGGATACACGACGATAGCATGTGAGGAATTACAGAGCTGCATAACTGATATATGATGGCAACAAGAAGATGTCACCAAAGTGCTGGACAGTGTGCGATGCATCTCATCGGTATCAGGCTATATTTTGTTGACTGAGACTATTCTTCTGATACACTAATTGTAAAGTAAGTTATCTTCATTATCCTGAGAGCTCATGAGACTCTCCACTGGAGAGGTTTTCTACTACAATAAATACTCTACTTGCTCAAGTTTGCATTTTTCTACGTCAATGCATGCGGTTAAAATTGATTAGAGGAAAGAGCAATCGGCTGTAAAAATAAGTACAAAACAAATTTGGAGATTACCAGGGCGTAGATGCAGAAACTAAACTGCAAGGTTCGCGAAGTAGAAAAAGACTGAAAAACAGTGGTTGTCAGCACCGTTCACTCAAATGAAATTGAGATAACATAGAATAAGAAAGTGTAATTGGCTTACAAATCGTATAAAAGATTGATATCAAAGAGAAGTTATCATCACTGAAAGATTTCATTATTTGTTACAGTAAGAGATGTAACTGTCGCATATACTCATTGTAGGTTCAAAAGAGGCCACTTTCCCATTACAGGAATAAGGTTTGATTAAAAATTCAGTAAGTACTTTTCAAATATGACGTTTTAATGAACAATTTTAAAATATTCATACATGACGCAATTTCGAGGGCAAGTGATAGATTCATAACAAAACAGTACGCACTGAAGGCCATTTACACAGACAACATCAAGCTCATGAGGGACACCACTACAAAAGTATCACATAGGACGTTATACATCCCGACGACATGCCAAATGAAAAGCATTAGTTCCGATCGATAATCTTCTAAACCAAATGTATACAACATAAGCAACTACAAAACAACCCCCCGACATTAAAGACATCCAAGCAATGCGTCCACCCATAGACGAAACAAACAACAAAAATTGTAACACCAGGAGAGGGCCCAACACAAATTCTAAGTGACAACCAGGATATACCATTAAAGAGGTGTTCCATCCAAGCCCACAAAGCAAACGCTTTCACAAGGCAATTAGGCGATATATTGAATTTTCAACCCGTAGAAAGGTCAGTTTTTTAAGCGGCAGGTTCCCACCCAGCGGGTGCGACGGGAGCCTCAGCAGGCGCGGCGGGATCCCAACCTGCGGGAGCAACTGGCGCAGCAGCGGCTCCCACGTCCCAACCAGCTGGAGCCCCTGCGGGCACCGCACCAGCTGCTGCGTCCGTCTCCCATTGCCCGGCCTCAGCGGCCTCGGGACCCCACTGGGCATCCCCTCCCAAAGCAAGCGTCGGCGCCGCGTATTCAACTGCGGCGAACTCAGCTGCTCCTCCCTCCTCTTCCTCACGGTCCTTGCCTTCATCGGGCTCCCTGTAGAAGAACAGGTCAACCTGCACCGCACACCCGACCCCCCCCCCAACTCGCACAATCAGCCCCCTCCCCTCGCCACCAACTATCACCCAGCCCCGCTCTCCGTTCCTCCCAATTCCCATACGCCCTCCCACACCATCCAACCTATCCCCCATGCATTACCCGCCACGTCCACCACATTCACATCCCAACCCCTCCCACCCCGCAATGCCCCCTCCCCCCTCCCAAACCTCCCAAATCGCCACACTCACCATCACGTCCCATGGGTGCGCGGCGCTGATCGTGCCTCGCATCTGCAACACCATGCGGGCCAGCAGCCAGAACAGAGCACCGATGCTGTGCTTGCCCTTGTTGTTCGCCGGAATCGCGATATCCACGTACTTCATCGGAGAGTCCGTGTCACAGAACGCGATCACGGGAATGTTCCCCAGAGCTGCCTCCATGATGGGCTGCCAAACATAACACAACTCATCGTCACACACCGCCCCACTTCTCCACCTTATCCATTCCTCACCCCCTCCAGCCCTAAAACAACCCCCCTCTGCTCCCATCCGTCCATCGTCTCCCACCTCAGTCACTCACCTGGTGATCAGTGCGGGGGTCCGTCAAAATCAGCAGCCTGGGCTCGCTGAACGTGTTCTGCAGCTGATTCGTAAACGTACCGGGCGTGTGCCTCCCCGCGATGGCCTGGCATCCCGTGTACTGCGCGAATTTCAGCACCGCGCGCTGCCCGTACGGCCTCGCGGACTGGACGATGATGTCCTGCGGGTTCTCGATGGCAGCAATCACCCTCGCGGCCAGCTCCAGCTTCTCGTAGGTCTTGCCCACGTTGATGATGAAAATGCCTGCCCACACAGAATAAAACAACGACCCCACTACCCTCGTCAATCGCCCACCTTCACAAACCAATTCCATCCGCACCAAACCCCCCGCGCCGCCCCCGCACCAAAAAACGAACACTCGCACACGCACCCAACCAAACCCCAACACGGGCCACAGGGGGAAAAAGCCCTAATTACCATCGGAGCGGCGCTTCCAGACGTAGCGCTCCATCTGGAAGTCGCAGTTCTTGGTGCCGAGGTGCACGTCGGCAGCCAGCATCATCTGCACATCGCTCTCCTTCATGGTGTCTCGCTGATAAAACGCAGCCAGGAAATTGCAGAGCTGCAGGGGCTGGAATTGCAGCTGCGAAAAGGGAGAGACTCTTCATCCTGCTCTGGATCTTCAACGCTCTCCACCTCCGCAACAATGAAACCCTAATCCCATCGTCGTCAATTCATCCGCTTCTCTCGGATGATAGTTGAAGGAGCTTTCGTCCTATCGTATCAACTGGAAAAAATTAGGTCTTGAACATTGTGTAACCCAATTTGTAGATTTTTCAAGTTCTTACTGAAGTTTAAAGTTTGAGAAATTGTTGAAACTCGGGGTTTCGGTGTTGATACATACAACAGCTTCAGCTTGTAGTTTAAGTCCACAGTTCCTAATATTACAGACAGATCATACACTTCACAATACGAATGTGAGGTTGCATCGACCACTTTTGTTTTGTAATTACAAGAATTGTAAAATGACCCGCTACCGTAACCAAGTGGATGCTGATTAGATTCAAAGCTCTTCGGTTAAAGATAATTTGAAATGCTGAAGATTTTGCATGCTTCGTTGTCACGTTTATAAAATTATGGTAGAAGCACATCGAAGAACGCTGTTATGTGATGTTTTGGTCATGATACTAAACAAAATGTGAATATTAAATGGATGAGTGGCAATAGTAATAACAATAGCAGCAGTGCTTACAACAATGACAACAGAAAACATTCTCTTTCCGTGAAGTAAAATTCAGCATGCAAAAGCATGGTTTGTTAAGAGTGTGTCTAATCACGAGGAAAAAGTATAGAACAGTGAAGGAAAATTCCAGAATTGTTAGTCTTTGAACATTGTAATTGATGAGTTATTACAGGACGATTAACTGATGAAAACATGTATATCTATTAATTTATAGGATATTTTGTTTGATTTGCATCCTAATAAAAATGTTCTACATGTAATCATTATATATAATAATAATAATAATAATAAATTATAGCTCAGCATAATAAGAACCAAGAAACTTCATAGCTTTATCTATGTATTCAAAGTACATTTTTATATTTTCTATGTAAGAAATGTATACATATTTTTCATCCATCATTAAATTTTTATTGCAATGACTTGTAAGAGGTTATTATGAAATAGATTTAACTTCCATAAAACGTTGATTGTCCTAGAAATATTTAAAAAATATTTTCATTTAATTCAGAAACCATTTAAATAAAATTAAATAAACTGTTAAGAATCAGTTTGGATATCTCTGTTGTTATTCGTTTCAATGTATTTATTTTAAAGCCATATGTGGCATTTAAGTACTTTTGTTGGCAATGTAGATAACAGCCTCCAGCATTTAAATATTTTTTGGAGACACTTATAACCTCCAATTATTTGAGATGCCAACTTGAATTTTTACAGTTTTTGACAAAGTTTCACAGTCTTGTATAGATATGTATTAATGTGTGTCTCCATACATATAGTAAATCCTTAAATTATCAATTATAAATGATATATTATAATAGTGTAAAAATAAACAAAATTCTTTTTGTTACATTATTTTTGTAAAAATAAACAACATTATTATTTAGTGCATTAGCTATCTTATGTTATACCTTAATCATAATGCACTCTCCATTTCAATTAAAACGACAAATATTTCCAAAATTTAAAAACAAAAATACAATCAAAGAGAATAAAGATTTGCAACAAGGGATCACATGTGTTGTATAATGCAGCAGTTTTTAATTGTTTAATTTTTGTGTGACATAGTGTGTTCTTTTGATGCCATATTTAGACCAATGTATTGATAAATTGATGTGATACTTTTATTTCTCGTCACTAAATATTCACAAGTGGCTTAAATTTGTAATGTTTTGGAGATAATGAGTAATTGTACTGGTGGTTTTAAAATCTTTCTAATCAAAATAAATCCAATTGTAGCTTGATTCATATAGAATCCACTCTTCAAAAACTTGAGAGTAGGTATTATGTAATTTTTTCCCTTACTTAAATTTTCTAAATCAAAAGAAAGTTATTTAAAATCTAGGAGTAGTGTTTGAGGTGATTTAACTTACAATACAGAAATAAAAATTTAAAAATTATATATATATATATATATATATATATATTAGATTAGTAAAGATTTTGACTTAATTATAAGTACTATATTATATTTTTGCACAATTAAGAAGAAAGATATATGCCTAAACTTAGATGTTCTAAAATAGCATATGATGTATTGAAAATAATTCTTATAAGGAATGGCTTTTCTATTATTGATATGCATTTTGGCTTATGTTGGGTACCTAAGATACATAAATAAAGCTTGTAACAAGTTTAAAATATCTCAAATATCTTCATTTAAAAATTATTTTTTAAAAAAGATAATAGATGATTTTAGATTTTACTATACTATTCTTTAGTAATTATTAATCAACTTGTATGAAAATAATACTGTGTGCAAATTAATTCATTTTCCAAAAAAAAAGTCGATTTTATGATTTAGAAAACAATAAATTCATATAGCTTATGATTTAGATCCATGATACTATCTTGGATATTCAAAGAAACAAAGGATTTATCTTAAGTTTTCATAATTGGACAAGAGTGAAAATTCTTTTGGCATCAAATTATTTTTTGGATCCATCTTAAGTCACAATTTGACATAAGATATTAAGTTTTGTGCTAAAACATAAGGTTGGTGATCTATTTTGATAAACTTGGTTAGATTCTAATATAAAGAAGACATACACTAGTATTATATCCAACATACTTTTAAATATCAAATAAAATTAATTTTAAGAATAAAAATAATATAAAGCTTGTTAAAAAGTAAAATCAAGCAAAAATATAATCCAATTTTGATCAAATTAATTTGATACTACAAAATAGCATGCATTGTTTTAAAGACATAGGTACATAATATTATATATATATATATATATATATATATATATGCAATAAAATTAGCAATAAATCTAAAGTTAAATAAATAAATAAATAAATATCAATTTTTTATACTTATTATATTTTTATAAAATTTATAATATTTCACTTTTAAAAAAATTAACATAATTTAGACATTACTCTATGGATTGTAGTAATGATTCATTTATACTTTTAAAAAAACACAATTAACTTTCTTAAAAATATATAGGTTAATATACATATTTAATATTTTATTTTATTTAATCTCAACAATTCTATCTACAACTAATTTTTATCAAATGTAAGAAATATTAAAGTTGGCAATCAAATTTTAGGTCATAAATATGATCTAATAATATAATTTTATAAAAATCTAATATTAATTAAAATTTATATACACTAAATAATAATTAAAAATATTGTCAATTAAAAGTAACTTTTAAGAATGGTGCTACATAGTTGGTTCAAAAAATAATATTGTAGAATCTATTACTTGAAAAACATAATAAATAAAAACTAAACATAATAATTTAATAATTTAATTCTTATAATAAGTGATATTTATAAATAGTTTAAAACAACATGAGGTCAACTAAAACTTGTAGCATAACAAGTAGGAAGATAAGAACAACACTATTATTACAACTACAAAACAAAGGTGGTGCCAAAGAAATACCACAACGTATAATCAAGAATTAGCAAACTGAGTATAGTGGTACAAGATTATAGAACCTCCAGGAGGAGTAGAATTGGACTAGAAGCCATGTGATTCCAATTTTTTGGTAATAAACAAGGTCATTTATAGAATAAGTGTGTGTCATTGGTAGTGGTTTTTACAAAGTATTGTCTTGTGCATGCATGAAGTCCTTGAAGCTCTAATAACAATACATCTATTTGATATTCTAAGAACAAAAACTTCATTCATAAACTAAACTTGATAACCACCATATAATATTTTCATATCTTACATATTTTGTTAATTCATAAACTAAAAATATTTAACATCAAATTTTAATGACTACATGATTAACTTATAGTATTTTTAATTTTAACTTGTAAAACATAATAAGTAAAACTATCAGTTTCATTTTTTACCATATTCACAAATGACAATCAACTACATATTTTTTCATAACACTCACACTTAGTAATATTAATTACTAAGTGTAATTAATATGTATATTAAACTATATTGGTGAAATAATATTTCAATAATCACGTCATCCTATAAATTCAAACTCCTCATCCAAATTATTTGCAATCTTTTGTTTGTTCCTCCTCCATCATGTCGACTTTGTATTGCAAATTATGGCACTATCTTCTCTCTTCACACTCTCATTATTGTACCACTCCGTCTCTTCCCGAAGTTCTTGCACACGCTTCAAAAGCCTTCGATGGAAACAAATCTCCCTCATGCCAACCATACAATCTTGCCAAGAAGCTGGTTCTTAATCTTTCAACTGATCTTTTATTTCTTCTCCAAAGCCCTTACAACTTCAGAGCCACGTTCAGTTGGGCATGAAATCCCCGACCAGAGGTTCAAAGAAACTGTACATGGTACAACTTGATCAATAGAGCTTGTTGAAATGCTTCCAAATAATCAAACAATCACTATTTCCACACAAATGTGTTTTCAAGGAAACACAAGTTCAACTTCCAACCGCTGTCTTGTTGTTACTCTGCTTGCTCGTCCGCTTCTTGCAAAAAATGTGGGCGCAGTTTAGGTTCTGTTGATCGTTGCCTACCACTTAGTAGAACAATTGCCCATTATAAGCAAAAAAAAAAAAAAAAAAAAAAAAAAAAAACTGTGTAATCTCCTTTCCCTCCACAAGGCCTGTAATGACTCTTGACATGTTAAGATCTGCTGATTGAAGCCAGAAAGAAAGGAAAAAACAACGAAATTGTTCGCTGACGTCCCCCAAAAATTCAAGCATTTCAACAGGAAAACTCGTGATCAATTTTAGTCCGTCAAAAGTGCTGTTAAAAGCCTAGCCTCACATTGCAACTCGCCATGCGAGCCTGCATCGTAAAAATACACAAGATAAAAAAACAACAAAACCAAAATGTAACAAAGAAAGGAAGAGACTTCGAAGAACACACCCACATGACCAGTGGGAGAGGGAAAGAGAGAAGAAAAAGAAACAGAAACAGTTGAGCGAATAATCTAAAACCCAACCAGCAACGAAGGGAAGAAAGTCATAGGACAAAGGCCGAGCGCATGAGGATGGCAAGGCACTGTGAGGAAAGAAGAAGCCTCTTCCATCCAACACGAAGAAAAGAAGAACACCAACCACCCGAGGCAAACAGCGACGAAGACCCACCCTCATCAGCACGACGTCCCGACAGACTGCAACTTGGAAGGAAGGTCAACAAAAACGCACACGAAAGGGAAGGGGAAATCGAAGGCGCGAACGTAAAAGACACCCGGCGCCCCCGTCTCTTTATCTTTAGGGCTCCAGCTTCGTCGTCCCGGTCCCGAGGTGTGTAGAGGCTCGCCTCGGCACATCTGCCGGTCCTTTTCGCAGCGCCAATTCCAGCTTTCAGACGTCTGTGATTCCAGCTTTGGTCCCCTGCCGGACTTCACCATGAAGGAGAGCGATGTGCAGATGATGCTGGCTGCCGACGTGCACCTCGGCACCAAGAACTGCGACTTCCAGATGGAGCGCTACGTCTGGAAGCGCCGCTCCGATGGTAATTAGGGCTTTTTCCCCCTGTGGCCCGTGTTGGGGTTTGGTTGGGTGCGTGTGCGAGTGTTCGTTTTTTGGTGCGGGGGCGGCGCGGGGGGTTTGGTGCGGATGGAATTGGTTTGTGAAGGTGGGCGATTGACGAGGGTAGTGGGGTCGTTGTTTTATTCTGTGTGGGCAGGCATTTTCATCATCAACGTGGGCAAGACCTACGAGAAGCTGGAGCTGGCCGCGAGGGTGATTGCTGCCATCGAGAACCCGCAGGACATCATCGTCCAGTCCGCGAGGCCGTACGGGCAGCGCGCGGTGCTGAAATTCGCGCAGTACACGGGATGCCAGGCCATCGCGGGGAGGCACACGCCCGGTACGTTTACGAATCAGCTGCAGAACACGTTCAGCGAGCCCAGGCTGCTGATTTTGACGGACCCCCGCACTGATCACCAGGTGAGTGACTGAGGTGGGAGACGATGGACGGATGGGAGCAGAGGGGGGTTGTTTTAGGGCTGGAGGGGGTGAGGAATGGATAAGGTGGAGAAGTGGGGCGGTGTGTGACGATGAGTTGTGTTATGTTTGGCAGCCCATCATGGAGGCAGCTCTGGGGAACATTCCCGTGATCGCGTTCTGTGACACGGACTCTCCGATGAAGTACGTGGATATCGCGATTCCGGCGAACAACAAGGGCAAGCACAGCATCGGTGCTCTGTTCTGGCTGCTGGCCCGCATGGTGTTGCAGATGCGAGGCACGATCAGCGCCGCGCACCCATGGGACGTGATGGTGAGTGTGGCGATTTGGGAGGTTTGGGAGGGGGGAGGGGGCATTGCGGGGTGGGAGGGGTTGGGATGTGAATGTGGTGGACGTGGCGGGTAATGCATGGGGGATAGGTTGGGTGGTGTGGGAGGGCGTATGGGAATTGGGAGGAACGGAGAGCGGGGCTGGGTGATAGTTGGTGGCGAGGGGAGGGGGCTGATTGTGCGAGTTGGGGGGGGGGTCGGGTGTGCGGTGCAGGTTGACCTGTTCTTCTACAGGGAGCCCGATGAAGGCAAGGACCGCGAGGAAGAGGAGGGAGGAGCAGCTGAGTTCGCCGCAGTTGAATACGCGGCGCCGACGCTTGCTTTGGGAGGGGATGCCCAGTGGGGTCCCGAGGCCGCTGAGGCCGGGCAATGGGAGACGGACGCAGCAGCTGGTGCGGTGCCCGCAGGGGCTCCAGCTGGTTGGGACGTGGGAGCCGCTGCTGCGCCAGTTGCTCCCGCAGGTTGGGATCCCGCCGCGCCTGCTGAGGCTCCCGTCGCACTTGCTGGGTGGGAACCTGCCGCTTAGTTAGAATTTAAGAGAGGGACGGCTCGATTGATGAGATTGTATTTGTGTGAACATGCACTTTGAATCTATATTTTTGCGCAAACATGGAGATATGGGAGAGCACGGGCGTGGTTGTGATGTGATGTGGGAGGGGTGTGGTATCGTGAATTGGTGAAAGCGGTCCTTGATGGGGTGGGGCAGTTGGGACAATGCAATGATTTTTGGAGCACGGTAGGTGGTAGGTGTCAAGGTGTTAAGAGTGGTAGCTCGGTCGGTTTAGGACGTGGGATTCTCTTTCAGTAAGGTACGCCCGCGATCTGATGTTGGTATCGTCCGTGTGGACCATTGCGCTGAAGTTGCAAATGTGTCTGTCAAGCTCCAACTTTCTACTCAATGAAGTAGCAGGTTTCAACGAGTAAGCGAGGCACGTGAGTACCATGCGTGAGCGTCTGTCGAAATGTCCAGTGCATGCATGGAACTTAGGCGCATGCCATCTTTGAAGTTGGTGCAGTTGCACATTGTGTGTGTGTATATATATATATGTGTGTATTTATAGATATTTATAGATGTACAAAAAAAAAATGAAATTGAAATTAAGTGATCTTTTAATTGAACGATCATTTAACTTTTTTTTTGAGGCAATAATTTATTGAAGAAGTAAACTTTTCACTAGGCAACCACATCATCTAAATATAATTTAAGTATAATGTAGTAGACGAAATTAGTGGATCACAATTTTACATGAAATTGAAATATATATGTATATAGATATGTTTATTTATATGAACGCATAGTTTTTTAGTATGTTTTTTTCTAAGATAGAATGATTACCTTGATTTTTACTCAAAGAAAATACTGTTGTATCCTAATAGCCATAGCTATTAAAAATTTTGTTTTTTTTATTTTGGTGATGTCTACAGCTCGGAACTTGTTCTATCTTCGTTATTATATTCTATAGTATTATTGGATCTTCGATCCTTTTGACAATCTAGAATGGTGTATGAATATTAGTTACTTCGTTAAGACTATAAGATGGAATATGATTGTCGTTTTTCTCAAATAAATTGCTGATTTGGTGATAAAGTTTTTCAAATAGTTACTGAAACATTTAGTATAAAAACCATATTACTCCAACTATTAAAGCAATAGACACATGCTTGTATAAATTTTAATATGTGTAGTGTAACATATCATTATTGTACTCAAAAAACTATATTAAAGCATATTTTAAAATATTTTGTAAACTAAAAGTATTACAGAATACTATAATTTAAGAATTTCGGTAATGTCTTTCTAAAGCACAACGCTTGTATAATTCAATGAGTCTTTGTTGACTCATATAATCTAATTGTCAATTCTATAACTTAGTGATATTCAGTGAATTTCATTTTTGAATAGATCTAATAGCAATCCTATTTATAAAAATATTTCTTTTCATAAGCTTGTAAGTTTTTAATTTTCTTAATTGTTTATCATTATTAATTGGTCAGGTTAATTAATCAATAGATCCCAACCAATAACATTTAAATAGTAGGAACACTTGGACCAATTAGAAAGAAGGCACATCATACGTACTTGACCTACCTCTGAACCTAATACCCAAGTTGGGTCAAATTAGAATTTAGATTGAACAAAGAATAAGAATATCTTGATGCTAAATTGGTTGGAGATACCCAACCCACTTAAGAACCTAACACCTATGTTAGATCAAATTAGAACAAGACAATTTGAATTTTCTAAGGAAAAAATAAAAACCTGCCCTAAATGTTTATACGCAAAATAAGCATACAAAATATACAAACTAAAACCCATTCCTTGGGCGGAGGCTTTACAAGCTACACTCTTAACACCTTGACACCTACCACCTACCGTGCTCCAAAAATCATTGCATTGTCCCAACTGCCCCACCCCATCAAGGACCGCTTTCACCAATTCACGATACCACACCCCTCCCACATCACATCACAACCACGCCCGTGCTCTCCCATATCTCCATGTTTGCGCAAAAATATAGATTCAAAGTGCATGTTCACACAAATACAATCTCATCAATCGAGCCGTCCCTCTCTTAAATTCTAACTAAGCGGCAGGTTCCCACCCAGCAAGTGCGACGGGAGCCTCAGCAGGCGCGGCGGGATCCCAACCTGCGGGAGCAACTGGCGCAGCAGCGGCTCCCACGTCCCAACCAGCTGGAGCCCCTGCGGGCACCGCACCAGCTGCTGCGTCCGTCTCCCATTGCCCGGCCTCAGCGGCCTCGGGACCCCACTGGGCATCCCCTCCCAAAGCAAGCGTCGGCGCCGCGTATTCAACTGCGGCGAACTCAGCTGCTCCTCCCTCCTCTTCCTCGCGGTCCTTGCCTTCATCGGGCTCCCTGTAGAAGAACAGGTCAACCTGCACCGCACACCCGACCCCCCCCCCAACTCGCACAATCAGCCCCCTCCCCTCGCCACCAACTATCACCCAGCCCCGCTCTCCGTTCCTCCCAATTCCCATACGCCCTCCCACACCACCCAACCTATCCCCCATGCATTACCCGCCACGTCCACCACATTCACATCCCAACCCCTCCCACCCCGCAATGCCCCCTCCCCCCTCCCAAACCTCCCAAATCGCCACACTCACCATCACGTCCCATGGGTGCGCGGCGCTGATCGTGCCTCGCATCTGCAACACCATGCGGGCCAGCAGCCAGAACAGAGCACCGATGCTGTGCTTGCCCTTGTTGTTCGCCGGAATCGCGATATCCACGTACTTCATCGGAGAGTCCGTGTCACAGAACGCGATCACGGGAATGTTCCCCAGAGCTGCCTCCATGATGGGCTGCCAAACATAACACAACTCATCGTCACACACCGCCCCACTTCTCCACCTTATCCATTCCTCACCCCCTCCAGCCCTAAAACAACCCCCCTCTGCTCCCATCCGTCCATCGTCTCCCACCTCAGTCACTCACCTGGTGATCAGTGCGGGGGTCCGTCAAAATCAGCAGCCTGGGCTCGCTGAACGTGTTCTGCAGCTGATTCGTAAACGTACCGGGCGTGTGCCTCCCCGCGATGGCCTGGCATCCCGTGTACTGCGCGAATTTCAGCACCGCGCGCTGCCCGTACGGCCTCGCGGACTGGACGATGATGTCCTGCGGGTTCTCGATGGCAGCAATCACCCTCGCGGCCAGCTCCAGCTTCTCGTAGGTCTTGCCCACGTTGATGATGAAAATGCCTGCCCACACAGAATAAAACAACGACCCCACTACCCTCGTCAATCGCCCACCTTCACAAACCAATTCCATCCGCACCAAACCCCCCGCGCCGCCCCCGCACCAAAAAACGAACACTCGCACACGCACCCAACCAAACCCCAACACGGGCCACAGGGGGAAAAAGCCCTAATTACCATCGGAGCGGCGCTTCCAGACGTAGCGCTCCATCTGGAAGTCGCAGTTCTTGGTGCCGAGGTGCACGTCGGCAGCCAGCATCATCTGCACATCGCTCTCCTTCATGGTGAAGTCCGGCAGGGGACCAAAGCTGGAATCACAGACGTCTGAAAGCTGGAATTGGCGCTGCGAAAAGGACCGGCAGATGTGCCGAGGCGAGCCTCTACACACCTCGGGACCGGGACGACGAAGCTGGAGCCCTAAAGATAAAGAGACGGGGGCGCCGGGTGTCTTTTACGTTCGCGCCTTCGATTTCCCTTTCCCTTTCGTGTGCGTTTCTGTTCGCCTTCCTCTTAAATTCAAGCTTCTACTTATTTTGTAAGGCTGTAAATAAGACAAAACAAAGTAGATTGGAAAATAAAATATTATAGACATGTATAGGAGGAAGTTAAGAATAGATTTTAGTAAAATTTACCTCAAGAAGCTAAGAATTGATATCTAAAGAGGACTAATTGTCAGCTTAGGTTGAAATTAGACCGCAAGGCACAAAACCATATACCTATGGTGACTTTGGGGTTTTTTGGTAGATTAGAGAGTGGAATTTTAAAGCAGACTTAATAATGTTTCTATGAACATTAATTTTTAATGATTTATATTTGTAATGACTTTGTAAAAACTTTACAAAATCATGGTTATTTCAAATGACTTGGATTTTTGTGAAATAAAATAAGGTTGATATTTTGGGCAATTTCAAGAGTTTTATAGTAGATCTATAGATGCAATTTTGTGGATTGGTGGATATAATTGTGCTTGATATATATTATATATTTAAGATCAGTTAAATGATTAGATTAAAGTTTGTAAAAGTTTTTATAGGTTGAGGTCTCAAAAATTAGAATTTGATGATTAGTGAGTATTTTTTTAAGATCTTTAGCAATCTATTCATTGGATTAAAGTGATTTTTTTTGTGTTGAGACTAAACTTGATTTTCAATAGTTTTATTTAAATTTGGGAGAAAATCATTAGTTCAAATAAGAGATATTGGAATTGGAAGTTCAACATTTAGATTGAAGTAAGAGGTTAAGCAACACCTAAGCAAATTTTTGGATTTTTCTTCCATTTGGTAAGTACAATTATCTTCAAATTTTTTCTACTTATTTTTAACTAAGAGATTGAAAAGCATGTAAAATTTAAAGCAAGATCAATAGATTAATTAATAAATATGAGAATTTTAATTTATCTTAGGGCTGATTTAAGATGGTTAGATTTTGGTTAAGGTTTGATTTAGGGTTTAGGATTTGTTTAGGATTTGGTTTAGGATTTAGGATTTTTCTAAGATTTGGTTTAGGATTTAAAATTTTTCTAGGATTTGATTTGGGATTTAATTAAGTTTTGACATAAGATTTAATTAAGATCCATTAGGATTTAAATTAGGATTAAAATATAACTTTATTAAGATTTATTTAAGATTTATTTAAAATTTCTTTGATATTTATTTAAGATTTCTTTCATGTTTTTTTTTTTTAAATTTTTTAAAGATTTTTTTTGAATTTGATTAAATCTTGATTAAAATTATTAAGATTTAATTAAGATATATTTAGGATTCTATTAGATTTGTTAGGTTCTTATTATTGTAATTTCTTTTCTACCTTCCACAGTTAGGTGCTTGGTGTATTTTCAAGTAAAACTTCACATAATATAATAGTGCTTCTTTGAATTGATAAGTACAATGGATTTCATCTTCCTTGTCCTTGTTTTTAACTAAGACATTAAAAAGTATGTAAATTTTGAATTTATATCATTTTTTTGATGATTAATTATTGAGGTTCTATTTTGTTATAGGATTTGTTAAGATTTTATTTAAGATTTAGTATTTGATTAGGATTTGGTTTAGGATTTGGTCTAGGATTCGGTTTAGAACTTGTCTAGGATTTAGAATTTTATTAGGATTTCATTAGAGTTTGATCTACGGTTTGATTAAGGTTTAGTTAGAATTTCATTAGAATTTGATTTAGAGTTTGATTAAGATTCAATTAGGATTTCAATTAAGATTTGATACAGGATTTGATTAAAATTTAATTAAGGTTTTAAGTAGGATTATATTAGAATTTTTATTTTTATTTTTGTTTTAGGATTTTTTTGTTTTTTTTGTAACTTCTTTTCAATTTATTTTATTAGATTAAAGTTTAATTGGATTTTTAAAAATTACTTGAAGTTTATTTAAGGTTCTATTAGACTTAATAGAATTTTTGTTGCATTATTATTTATCTTCCATAGCTAGATGCTTATTACATTTTCAAATAAGAATACATATAATATAATACCAATAGTTGTAATCCGTAAGCAACATGATTGATTTGTTTACAAATGAGAAAAAGTCCCAGCCTATAATAGTCCAACTTGTTCAAAAAATAAATAGTCTTGATATTATGACAAAGTAGCAATATCTTATTATATACAGTGAATTATGGTTGTTCTTTGCAATAGGCATCCACATTCATCTTTTGTCATTCTTAAACTTTCTTTATCTATGCCTTTAATATTGCATGTAGCTTTGACAAATAATTTGCCAAATCTTCTGTTATAGGATTATCAATTTTTGAAAAGTCAAAAGTATCAAGTTGTAGATGATAACCATAATTGACAAAAAATAGTATTTGTTGAGTAGAAAGATGTAATGAATTATTGTACCTAAACTTTGCCAATAGCAAAAGAATTGTTCAATTATCTTAATGATAGTTGATGGTATACCTCAAATTTTGCTGTAGAACTTGATTCACTCATTCCATTTGTCCATCAATTTGAGGATGAAAAGCCAAAGAGAGCTTTATATCCACTTTTAAAATCTTGAAAAAGATTGTCTAAAATCTTGATATAAATTGAGTTCTTTTATTTGATATAATATCTTTGAACAATCTATGATAATAATAGATGTTGTCAAAAAAAAGTTTAGCCATTTTTTCACTCGTGATAGATTTTGAATATAGTACAAAATGTGCCATCTTAGTAAAACAATCTATTATCACAAATATAAGATTGTAAAAACTTGAGACTAGAAGATTTGTGATAAAATCCATAGAAACAAAAAACTATAATTGTTTCAAAATAGGTAATGGCTGGAGAAGTCCATAAGATTGATGATGAGGAGTTTTTGATCTTGAACAAATATCAAGTGATTGTACAAAGACTTTAATTACCTTTATATTTGAAGCTACCAAAAATCTCTTAATATTAACTCTAAAGTCTTATTGTATTTAAAATGTCCAGCTATTGAAAAGTTATGACAAGCTTGAAGAACACATAATTATGTTTTCTTTTTTAGAATATATTTGTTCTTCAAAATAGAGTAGATTATTCTTGAAATTAAACTTAGAGATATCATAAGACTTAAAAGAATCATTTTTGACATTATAAATAAGAGGATCAAAAGACATACTTGATTGAATTTACTCAACAAAGGTTGAATCAATAATCAATGTTGATTTTATTGCTTAAAGATGAAAATACTTTGGCTTTAAGATTTTTTTTTTTGTTAACAAAAGCTATTTTTCTTTCTTTTGGTACAAGATAAGAATGTTTAGAAAGGACATCTAACAAATCTTATTATTTTTTGGATCAATAAATAATCTTAACAAAGATATGCTCTAATGGACTTGACAACAATTCAAAACATGTATTGATATGAAGTACTTGAGTTTCTTGTAATTTGTATAATGACTAAATTAAAAGTATCTTCTAGATAATGATGCTATTCTTAAAATGAATCCATAATTACAAGAAGCTCTGTGTCATAGATCTTGTAGTTAATTTTGACTACTAAAAATATTTTAGAATGAAAAGCTATCAAATAAAGCTAATCATTTACATAATTCGGATTTGGGCTTGAGAATAGTCAACCTTAGGATAAGAAAAAGTACAATAAGACATTCAAGAAGCTATACAATACTTAGTAGATCTCAAGCAATAGTAATATGAATTAGATAGTATTGGATTGAAATTTGTGTGATATTAACTGAATAATAAACTATATATTGTTTCTTTTTTAATTATCATGTATCTTGTTTCTTGTTTCACAAGGTCTTATCTTATGCTTGTGGATTAACTTAAAAGCCTAAGTAACATTTGGCAACTATATTGGAGAGCATTATATCATAGAATCTTAAAAGAATTTAGCAGAGGATGGATATGAGATCTATAAGCAAAATGAGAAAAGAAATCAAATTAAGAAGAGATACAAGATCTTCTTTTAGCCAGCTTAAGTCTAGCAAATAAAATCCAAGAGAAGTTGCTATTATCTCCAAAGAAACTAGAGACTTACAAAGTTGGCTATAACAATATACCATTGTAATAGAAGATCATATGAAAACAACTTTATAAGGAATGTTATAATATTACAAGGAACTTATACAAGTGGTCATGAATTTACAACCTTAGTTTTAGAATCCTAAACATGACAACTAAATAAGAAGATAGTAAAGGGCCATAATCAAATTCCATAGAAAAGTCAACCCGCACCTTCCATTTTGATTCCAGAAGTAGTAGTCAATTTGAAACAATCCAGCCTTAAATATCCTTTTTACAAATGCATTAGTGATTTCAATAAATATATAAAAGCATATGTAAGTCCCACAAATTGATCTTAATTAGTGGATTAGTTAAAAATATAGTTTTAAGTCATTTAATTATACAAATGTTAAGAGTAGAGAGTTTTTTTTTTACTATTCGAGTATTTATTATAATTTAGAAGTATTTATAAGTTTAAAAAGTGTTATTAGAAGAAAATTTATAAAAATGGAGTCTTAGTAAGTCTAAGAGGCAATTATCTTAGTTAGTTTAGTATTTTTTTTATTGTTAAGTATTAAGAGTTAATTATTGAAACCAATATCTTCATTGGCTCTTATCTACATGTATTACTTATAAAATCCTATCAATGATTAGTTATTAGTTAGAAGAAGCATGAAAAAGAGCTTCATGTCTTTTTAGTTAATTATATAAAAAATAGAATTTTTAGTGGATTTAAATTAATTTTATTACTATAAAAAATAACTAAGATAGGAAAATACAGACTCATATGGATATTAGTATTATAGAAACATTATAGGATTTTTTAGAATTTATTTAGAATTTATTTAGAATTTTTTATGAATTTTTAGAGAAAATTTCAAGTCTTTGGTAAAATTGAGTTTTATCACCTTGAGAGCCATTATGAAGAAATGAATCAAGATTTGAAGACTATGTAAGGTTTTT